GGTTGATGGGTTAGTTGATTGTTGGGCTGGTGGGGTTAGATGGTTGTTGTATTGGTTGATTGTTAAGGTTAGATGGTTGATGGGTTAGTTGGTTGTTGGGTTGGTTGGTGGTGTTAGATAAGATAAGATTTCGTTCGGATTTTTAACCCCGGAGGGTTAGCCACCGAGGATAACCCAAGAAAGTCAGTGCGTCATCGAGGACTGTCTAACTTATTTCCATTGGGGTCCTTAATCTTGTCCCCCAGGATGCGACCCACACCAGTCGACTAACACCCAGGTACCTATTTGCTGCTAGGTGAACAGGACAATAGGTGTAAGGAAACGTGTCGAAATGTTTCCACCCGCCGGGAATCGAACCCGGGCCCTCCGTGTGTGAAGCGGGAGCTTTAGCCACCAGGCTAGTTAGTTGGTAGGGTTAGATGGTTGATGGGTTAGTTGGTTGGTGGGGCTAGATGACTATTGGGATGGTTGGTTGTTGGGTTAGTTGGTTGTTGGGGTAGTTGGTTGTTGAAGCTAGTTGGGTGTTAGTTGCTGAAGCTAGTTGTGTGCTAGTCACTTTGCTCATACTAGCTCATACAGTAGATCCTCGGTACTCGAACTTAATTCATTCCAGAAGGCTTTTTGAGTGCTGATCTGTTCGAGTACCGAACGAATTTTTCCAAACCAATTTTCTTTTTGGTTGGCTGTTATCACTAATCTTCGTACACCCCATGGTGACTTATTTATACAAATAATATAAAAAATGCAACAAAAAATGCGAAGAAACACAAAATAGTTTACAGTGAAGTTCTTGCAGGTCGTGTTTGTTTGGTCGAGTTGCGAGCAAACTGTTGACTACCGGGCGATTTTTTTTACTGGACAAAGCATTTGAATACTGAATTGTTCGAGTAGGGAGCTGTTCCAGTACCAAGGTTCCACTGTATATGATTTTCTAGTACACTTTATTGAACATTAATATTCATGGAGAAATGCTAAACCCACAAGGGAGCATGGGAAGTGATCAGGTTTGATTCAAGGGAAGGGGCAACTCCAATTCCTTGGCTCAAAAGCCCTTGCCAGTCTCACAGCGTCACCTCCACAGGAATGGCTGATATAAAGTACAGGTAAATAATGGTACCTAATGAATGAATGAAGCTACAGAAAGGGAGGAGAGCGATTTCCTGTATTGCTAACATCCATATATATCTATTATTGTAACATCCGTGTACCTGTTACTGTGATCTGATCCTCTCTTTAATGTAAACGTAAATAACTCAGTTTACCTTATCCCTAGTATATCTCCATTTATTGTAACTGATTTTCACACAATTGAGTTACTTAGCCATTTAAACTTTTAAGGTTTAAATTGTAAGATATTAGAGGGACCCCAATGGAAATTAGTCACTTTTTCTGACTTTTTGGGGGTTATCCTAGGTAATCTACATATATATGCTGCTGTGTATGATAATTTATGTAACTGTATTTATGTATACCTGTACCTGAATAAACTTGCTAATAATCTAATGGGCACTGCAAACAGACCTCCTCCTCCCAACTAGTAAAGTCATATTGGGGTGGCCCGGTAGTGAAGAATTTGGCCTTAACAATGCCTGAGAGTGTGCTGGGGAAGGATAAAATGTGCCTCCTGGCAGTGAGAGCTCCCCATGTGGGGGATTCCCAGTTGGCTGTCTCCAGTTCCTCCCTTGGCACGTACATTGACTTGCAGACAATCTTCAGTGGTGTTGCCCTTTGCCTTGCTGCCCCTATCCTCACTTAATACAGGTATATCTGTTGCACTGCATATGAAGATTGATTTGGGTACCATGATCTTGTTTGCTGTAGCACCACGGGAAAGACTGCAAGGCATGAAGAAGTTAGCAGTTTCAAGAGGAGCCTTGGAAGAGCCTGATACCCAGTAATAAGGGAGCCACTTCAACTATGCAGATCCAATGGCACCCAGAAGTGTCCAGATGTAATTACCTTGCCAGCCTGGGCAAAGAGTAAGCAGGTGGTGTGGGACTACACATGTGCATCCACATTACCCGGAGTATACCTGGAGAGGGTTTTAGGGGTCAATGCCCCCTTGGCCCGGTCTGTGACCAGGCCTCTTGGTGGATCAGGGTCTGATCAACCAGGCTGTTAATGTTGGCTTGGCCGGTGAGGTACTGACTTTAGGTGTCTGTTCAGCACCTTCTTGAAGACAGCCAGGGGTCTATTGGTAATCTCCCAATCTCTAATACAGCAGGGAAGAAGGAAGGGCAGCAGCCAGCTTCAGAGAGGTTACCTAGAGGTTACCTGGAGGTTACTTGGGGTTGCTTCTGGAGGTCAGCATTCCCACAACCCAGTCCTAGATTAGCCTCGGAAATCTAAAAAATATGGTGAACTTGCCCATTATTATGTGAATGTTGTTCCCATACACTCAAGAGACCTTCAGCTCATGGGGAAAGAATGCATCTAAATTGTATCCTGTAGCTTGATTACTAGCACACTCATTTCACACACTGAGGTCCAGGGGTCGATCCCTGGTATGGCTGGAAAATGTTAGGATTTGTTTCTGTAAGGCCTAATTTGCCTAAAATGCGTCAGAGGGAAATCCAAACATTTTTCCACAAAGCCTTTTTATCTGCTTCTGTAAGGCTATATGCCCCTGAAATTTGCACTAGAGTACAGTAATAAATTTAAATTTTTTACTTATGTGTAGTACAGTGGACCCCCACATAACGGTCACCTCCGAATGTGACCAATTATGTAAGTGTATTTATGTAAGTGCGTTTGTACGTGTATGTTTGGGGGTCTGAAATGGACTAATCTACTTCACAATATTCCTTATGGGAACAAATTCGGTCAGTACTGGCACCTGAACATACTTTTGGAGTGAAAAAATATCGTTAACCGGGGGTCCACTGTACTAAGTGATATACATATCCTTAAAGTTTATTAATTTCTCTGTGAATAATCATACAATAGTAATAATAATTTATTTTTCAGTATTATTCATTTGATACAAAGATTTCTTACATGGAAATGCCCATATAATTGCTTATGGCTTATCTTCACTGCCAACATATATTAATCACTGGGCCTATGTTATCAGTACAAACAGCACAGTCTGTGTACATAATAATACTGATGTGTAACACTATGAATATTTAATTAGATAAGGTGTAACATGCAGATATAGCTTAATTTAGATTTACAGATTTTGTAAAAAAAAACTTGTTTTAAAATTTTCACATGATAGCAATAATAATAATAACAATACAGTAGGACCGCTGTATCTGCGGGTCTGATTTCCAGGGTTTCAGTTATCTGCGGTTTACCCTGGCCCGAAAATATCCCTTAATTTTGCTTAATAATGACACTAAAGTGCAAAACTAGTGATCTTGACAGTTCTTCAAAGCCTAAGAGAAGTCATGAAGTGCTTCCCATCAGTGAAAAAGTGATAATTTTCTACTTATTTTGCATAATATATCAATTAAACTCTATCATTGGTATGTATGTTATATGAAAAATTACTTAACCCTTAAACTGTCCAAACAGATCTACGTTCACATGCGTAGTGCTCCAAAAGTAGATCTACGTTTTTTACATATTTTCAAATATAACAAAAAAAAAAGTGGATCAAAGTTTTTTTACACGTTTTCAAATGTAAAAAAAAAAAGTCTACATTTTTTACATACTTTCAAATGTTGAAAAAATGTAGATCTACGTTTGGACAGTTTAAGGGTTAAATATAGAGTTCGCTGCTATCCGTGGTTTTGTGTATCCGCTGTAGTTCTTGGAAAGTATCCCCTGTGGATATGGGGTCCTACTGTAATAATATTGATTTCAAACCATTGTACAGAAATATATGATAAACTAGTACTGTACCTATAAAGGGATAAAATGGAGCACTGCGCATTCCATGTCCTTCACTCTTGTAGCTTTGACTCCTCCCTGTTTTTATCAAATATCTGGTGGCAAAAGATATCATATAACCTTGATGTTATGCAGGACGAAGTTCATCAAAGTGAGGGAGTACTCTAAATGCTTTTTATTAAATTGTTATTGATATAAATTAAATGTGTGGTAATCTACAAAATAATATTAAGGTATTGTATAGAAGAAATAAGAGAAGATGGCTTATATATGTATGTACTGTAATCTGATTCTTGTAATTGTTTTTCTCCCTTCAAGAATCGTGCCTTGACGTTGATGAAGGGCTCTTCATCCAGGAAACTGAAACTACTGTTCCCTCCTGTTCCTCGGATCAGACGTGATTACCTTTCATAACCTTGGGTGCTCTATTTAGGGCTTCCCCAGGAATGTAATAATTGTCATGATGCACAAAACCATTGTAACACAATTGCAAATAAATACATAATGGAGTGAGCGGAGTCTCAACCTGTGGCAAGCCAGTCCTAAGACTAGCATGCTAGTGAGCCAGTGTGTTATCCACTGGGCCATGCAAGCCTTCTAAAATTCAACCTGCTAGTTGTATTCCTATACACCATAGGAAGATTATCATGGTTTATACTAATCCTCCAATGGTGTATAGGAATACTATATTATGGCAATGTACCAACAATGTATCTTTTAAATCTTTTGTACCATATTATGTGATAAAATATACCTATTGAAAAAAAAGAATGAAAAAATGTGGTGGTAAGGAAAGTGGAATATTCAAATAGCTTCAGGAAGAAATCCAAATATTCTTCCTTGATGCCTTTTTATCCGCTTCTCCGAGGCTATGGGTCCCACAGTTTGCACCAGAGCTGGGCCCCATTTATAGTTGTGCTATTATTATTAGGCTAGCATGGTCTAGTAGACAACACACTAGCCTCCTAATCTTTGACCTGTCTTGCTATGGTTTAAATTCCACCCATTCCATAATTTTAAGTGACATAATGGTTTTGTAGTTAATAAGGGGGCAGGTTTTTGGTTTATTTTTTTTTGTGTTTTAAAAGCTGCAGGGATGAACTAATATGAGGAGAGAGTTTTTGGCAGTACGGTGCCTCATTCACATCAAATGTGCATTTCAGATTGGTCTTCACCAAGGCCAAGTCTAAACTACAGTATTCAAGATGACGGAATCAGATGACTTAGAGGCTCTTTTGCCTGCAGGTATGTATGCCTTCTGGCTGCATTCGTATAATAATTTTATAACAAGAAATACAGTGTACTCATATTTTCAAATGACTCACACTTAGGAGATAGAAACTTACAATGGTGTTTTGAATCAACGTGGTCTATTAACAGGTCACACAGAGAGACTTCGTCATAAGTTTTAGTCTCTTAAGTTCTGGTTCTTTGTGTATCGTTTCAGCCACAGTAAAGAATACTCTATAATTTGCTTTGTCTTTAATATTTGTTTTAAAGAATTAAAAAGTTACAATTCCACATTTGGAAGAGGAACATTATGACTGTTTGGGTCTCTCCTGGACCATTGACAACATCAAAAAGTTGCCTAAAGTTCCTCTCCCAATTGTGGATTTTTGATAATCTTTTGTAAAATTACATAATGTACACATATGTTATTTTTATTTACATAATGAAACTCAGTAAGCATATTCATAAATAACAAAAAGGCATAATACCATGACTGGAACAATGCACAAATGACCTGCACATAGGAAAGAGGAGCTTATGACAACGTTTCGGTCCAACTTGGACCATTTTCATAAAAATTTGTTTGCATAAATAAATATCAGTGGGATGCCTAGTGGGGAGTTATACAGCAGTAATTCTCTGGCGCTGACTACAAGGGAAGAGGCACAGTACGCACTGATAATGGTGGGTAACAGATCTTGTAATGCTGAAGGCTATATGTGTGTCAATTAGAAACCACTTCAGAATGACTAATGTGAGAATGGATCATATTCTTGTATCATGAGGGACGAGTTACAAATTCTTTGTCCAAGATTTGTCTAGTCTGTCATTGCATAATAATCTGTTCATTATCATTCCTTATTGAGTACTATTTCCTCCCAGTGTCCAGGTAGGAAATAAGAATGGGAAACATAGTCCCTTCAAAAACAGAAGGGGGGATAAGAGTTTTAAATTGTACAGTAGCAATAATACAGCCTCTCCTCACTTAGCTACGCATTCGTTTACCGACGACTCAGACTTACGACGAGCTTTCTGACCAGTATGCATGCCTAATAATGATAAATTAGACACATGTGCAACTCTTGGGTATCTTTATTGAGGAAACGTTTCGCCACACAGTGGCTTCATCAGTCAATACATAGGAGAAACTTGAAGAACAGGAGGAGAATGAGGTAATCAGTCCCTCAACCTTGAGTCGATGTGTTCAGTCCATCAATCATGTCGGTTCTCTGAACCATTCATCTACAATGCCTAATAATGTATATTAGAGCTGATTTCCTCTATTCTGTTTATTACAATATACAGTACACTACTGTATAAACATTGACAAATACACCAGAAATGTTAAAATGGTGCAAAGATGACATTAAAACAATATCAAAGATGGTTGACACAAACCCACTACCATTATAGTATGCACCTCACGTAGTGACGAATTTGTTTACCAATGTGGTCTTAGGAATGTAACTCCATTGTTTAGTGAGGAGAGGCTGTAATAATAATAATAATAATAATAATAATAATAATAATAATAATAAGGCGGGGAAAAAGTAACAGTTCATGTGATGGAGGGTCATGGACAGTCATCCACGTGCTTTCCATGATATTATTAAATGCTATTCAATTTATGTACTGTATCATGTGTAAGCTAAGTATATATTTATTTATATATTTATTTTATTTATTTACAAATTTGAAGGCCTCCTTATTTGCAGATTTTGATTATACAACTTTTCACTGAAGGGCAACCCATTAATAAATTCAAGCATTCTGATTTTTTCTGGCTTTGTGAATTTTCACATATGCAAAATGGTAGTCTGGTCATTATTGACCAGACTAACATGATATATGCTGTTTTTGAGACATGGTCTGTGATATAGACCCAGATGTGGAACAAAACTTGTGCAGATTTAATTTTGCTAGCACACTCAGCTCTCATATTAAGGTCCATGGTTTGATCCTCGGTATGGTTTGAAAACATTAGGACATGTTTCCTTAAGACACCTGCTGTCCCTGTTCACCTAGCAGTAAATAGGTACATGGGTGTTAGCCAACTGGTGAGTCACATCCTAGGGACAAAATTTACTTAATTTTCCTGAAATGCTCTGTATAACAAGGGGCTTTCTATATAGTAGTGTGTCATTGATGTCAGCTAAGCCTGTATATGCTATTCATGTACTTGTAGAAATAAAGATTATTATTATTATTATTATTATTATTATTATTATTATTATTATTATTATTATTATTATTATTATTATTATTATTATTATTATTATTATTATTATAGTTTTATCAGAACTCTAGGAACATAATTCCTTTTAGTTTTATAGGGATATCTGTACAGTTGAATCTCAGAGTCATGACAGTTACATTCCTATAGGTCCTGTAAATCTAGAAACTGCAAATGCAAGAATTATGTCATCATAATTAATTTTGTTTCAGATTTGGTTTAAATTTAAGTATCAGAGGTCATATCTTTGTAAATATTTTTCGAATATGGTCAATACTGATACTCATAAGCAAGAATGAGACTGAGAAATAAATTTGGGATTGGCCAGTCTGGCCAGTTGAGGGGTTGAGATGACCTGTCTAAGCTCATTCATCTCTGAACCTGAGAGCTTCATTTTCTTATCTCAGGAAGCATTCCTTACTGTCATTTGTTTCTTCAGATCATGACAACTCTGTGATGATGTCAAGTGTTGAAGTGAAGGTGTATAAACAACGCTGGTGGATTCTCTTCCTCTTTGCTGGCATCGGATTCATGCAGGTAACTCTTAATTGTTCAGTACTGTACTGTATAATCCTAAAGATCCATAACATACTTTTGCAGCAGCTGAGAATCTTTATTGCTGAAACATTACACCTTCTCTGCAAGTTTTTTTAGTCAAATACAGAGGTGATAAATATTGTAGATGCCTTTGTATTCAACAGAAGTCTAAAGAGCAGGCTAAACATTTCAGCATTAAATATTTTTCCTGCTACATGTGTGTCTTACTCATCTACTTTTTGGTATTGTATACCATTATTACGTATATTGATTTTCTATGGGGAATGTGGAAAAGAATCTTTTCTCTGTAAGCCATGCATGCCAGAAGCAGCGAGTAAAATGCCAGGATCAAGGGGCTAATAACCCCTTCTCCTGCATAAATTACTGCATGTAAAAAGAAGAAAAACTTATTAATTTTCTTCTTTTTTGGATCACCCTGCCTCAGTGGAAGATGGCCAATTTATTAAAAAATATATATACTGATACTGTATAATCATTTTTGTCAGTATGATACAATGTTTTAACCCCTTGACTGTTGCAACCCCAAATCCTGAGGTGTCTTCTGGTGTCGCAAAAATCTAAAAAAAAAAAATTATTTTTTCTTATGAAATGATAGAGAATCTTTTCCTGATTGTAATGACATCAAAAGAACGAGATTTGATGGAAAACTGACGGAATTACGCTTTCGCGAAGTTAGCGGCCTCGGCAATATTTACAAATCGGTGATTTCGCCCACTTTGAGCCCTGTTTTCGGTTAATTCCGTTGTTCCAGTCGACGAAACTCATAGCTATTTCTTTAGAACTCCATTTTTTTCTATTGATTGAGTACAAGAAACTGCCCATTTACCAATTTCAACTATCCAATAACATGGTCAGAAATTTGCTATTTGGCCAATTTCACAAAAATTAAAAAAAATGACGATTTCAAAATAGGGTCCAGAATGAACAATGCAGACATTCCTGGCTCTAAAATAACATTTTCTTTGTTCATCAATCACGTTTCTAGGCCCCTCTGATATTACTCTTGCTTTCTATTTTGAATTTTTATTCAAACAAAAAATAGAAGATTTACTGTTATGCAGACTACTGCAATATTGTAATAATTGTATAAATAATGTCGACCCATTCATGACTGCATAGTAGAATGGCTAGTTGGACATTTATTGGACAATGACATCATTTGTTTACTTTTGAAAATTAGCAAAAATCAAGCATTTCCCCTACTTTGAGCTCCATTTCCAGGTTCTTTTTATAGTAAAACCAATCAAAGTCACCTCTATTTCTATAATATGTTTTCCATTCTATTGAATGAGACCAAGAAAATGAGAATACAACCATAAATACTACATGAAAATTGACCATGAACTCAGCATTTTAATTAAAAAAAACGGTCGGAGTTTTTTTTCCTCATTATGCACTGCGTATCCTGCAGGATTTTTTTATATGGTGCACACTGACCACACAGACCCTATCTCTCACATGTGGGCCTACCAGCTTTCTCCTGCTTGATTTGAAGCCGCTAGAATTTATGAGTATATATACATATGTATGTCAAACACGGTGGCTCGTAAGACGTATATATACGACCGAAACAGTCAAAGGGTTAATACTTTTCATTATTGTTAATTTATTTGGACTCTGGTAAGACAGTGATGAAGTGAATGATGATGAAAGTAAATGTTTTTTCTCTTTTGGGTCACCCTGCCTTGGTGGGAAATGGCTGATACGTTAATAAAAAAATTTAGTCAAGGAAAAAAAACTGCTGATTTAGGCCTCAATCAAAACTGTGCAATGACTTGTTAAGAGCAGCTCACTATATAAACTGATCATGTACATGTGGACTTTTCTTTCTTTTAAATTTTACAATTGTGGTTTTCAGTGTGCAGTCTGGAACACGTGGGGACCAATCACTTCTTCCGTAAAGATGGCTTACCATAATTGGGATAATGCGGAAATTGCTTTGCTGTCTATGTGGGGGACAATCACAATGATCATGGGGCTGGCACCCTTGACATTATTACTCCAGACAAAAGGTATGCCTAGTAGAAACATGATAATCAACTAATAATACATTACAGAGAATAATGATTTTCTTTATTCTCAGTGTTGTTGCTTACTTAAATGTTATGTGTATGTCTCTAGCAACTTAATTTTTATAAAATTTGCTAATTCTACTATGGTTTATTATTAATTAGGCAGGGTGACTTCCCTCTCCCCTAAAAAGGATTTAGGTTTTTTTATGGTACTCAAACTGCTTTTCTAGTAGGGCTTAGTGTGGTTCATTGCTGACTTGCTGATTCATGATATCCTCACCCCATGTATTGAGTGCACTCTGCACTTTCTAGCTTCCTAAACTCAAGTGTCTATTTCCTTGTGCGTGTATTACCTCATTCACAAGCTGATAAAGTCTTCTTTACACATCAGTGGGGAGAACATGAGGCCACACTTGAGGTCAGTGGTCAAGGGCATATACAGTAAGTGCTTAACTTGCAAACACTGAGAATCTTCTGTATTGTGTTTACTATCATTATTGTGTATAATATTTTTTTTTTTCAACAAGTCAGCTGTCTCCCACCGAGGCAGGGTGACCCAAAAAGAAAGAAAATCCCCAAAAAGAAAATACTTTCATCATCATTCAACACTTTCACCTCACTCACACATAATCACTGTCTTTTCATAGGCACCCAGATACAACAGTTTAGAAGCATATAAAACATACCCCTCCAAACTGCCAATATCCCTAACCCCTCCAATATTATTATTATATCAATATTATTCTCAGTAGAGAAGGTCTCTAACATTTGTAAGTCGAAGACTGTGCATGACCTGCAGCTGGGAACTTGGACAGGTTGAGTGGAATGTTCTACTATAGTTTCCTAAGTTGGCTTGTTCAATAAGCTTTGAGGAGCACTGCTGTAATTTAGAAACTGAATTAAGGTTTGTAAAGGAGGTTCTAATTCTCAAGGAGGAGCTTAGATAAGTGTAACGGTGAATGTTAAGTGGTGGGTGATAACAAAAGGAGCAGTGTTAGTAGCAAAGAAGGGAGAAAATGTTAGAAGTAATAAATGGAGACTGGCTTGCAGAAAAAAAGAAATGTGATTGATGAAGCTTGAAGAAATAAAATTCAAGAATAAAAATTATTTTCTGTGTACAATGGTTAGTGAGGAGAAAGGTAGGATGATTTTTCTCAGCAGTTGAAGGGACTCTCATAAAAAGCCTTAGTATGCACAGCAGTTTAGGGGCTTACACTAGAATTAAAAGTACTTAATAGTAGAGTGCATAGATGTGAGGTTCTCTGAGCTTGTGTGTCCAGCAAGGAATATTGACAGATGAAATTAATAGTTAACAAGTAAGTAGAAGATTAAACAATATAAATTAAGTTACTATTTAGGGATTTGTTGATTTTGTGATATTTAGATTGATAAGGCAGAATAGGGACTAAAGCTTGGACTAATACTAATGGCACTAACACAAACACAATGAGTAACTGCCTGTTGCTACCAGCAATATCTAAACCTACAAGAATCTCCGAGACAAGCATCTCCTTCATAGACCACATCTGGACAAACACCATATCCCCTTTAAAATCAGGCATAATCACAGACAACACTACAGACCACTACCCAACCTTTCTCATAACTAATCTGGGCAAACTGCCACAAGACATTACTAAAGTAACCTTCAGACTACATAACGAGACAGCAGTTAACAACTTTATAGCAACTATGAATAACATCAATTGGCAAAATGAACTTGAAACATATACAGATATAAATGAATGTATAAATAATTTTCTAAAAAGCCCAATGCCTCTATAACAGACATTGCCCCAGAAAAACTAAACAGATCACAGCAAAGAGACTGAATAATCCCTGGCTAACACCAAGCATCCTCAAATCCATTAACACAAAGCACAAATGTGAAAAACGGTATAGAATGGGTTAAATAACTAGAGAACAGTCGAAAAGTTATTTGTCAGCACTTACCAGCCTGATAAGAAGGTCAAAAAAATTGTATTATGAAAATAGATTACATAACATCAAAGGTGATATGATAAAAGCCTGGAAAACTCTATCTGAAATTCTTGGAACTAAAAAGTTATCCAAAAACAAAGCAATCAAACTAACAAAATCAGATGAACCCCTACTCACTCCAACCGAAACAGCAAACAGACTTAATGTTTTCTTCTCCACCATAGGAAAAAATCTAGCAAACAAAATACACCAAGCACAAACGCCCGTCCATCAGACTACCTCATAGGTACCTACCCAAATACGCTATTCCTAGCTCCAACCGACCCCATTGAAGTTACGCTCATCATAAACACCCTTAAAAACAAGGCAGAAGACATAAACAACGTTCCAGTCACGGTGCCTGTTTTTGTTATTTATAAACAACTTGCCTGCTTTTATGTACAAAAAAGCTTCTTAAGTATTGTCACCAATTATTGCAACGCTCTTTAACAAATCCATTGAATCATCTACCTTCCCAACAATCCTCAAAATAGCGAGGGTCACTCCGATCCATAAAGGAGGTGACCAAGCTGACTTGAATAACTATAGACCAATATCTAACTTACCACTGCTCTCTAAAATCTTTGAAAAATTAATTCATAGACTGATCTATTCCTACCTCGTTTCACACAACATATTGAACCCTTGTCAATTTGGATTCAGGAATAATAGAAACACAAATGATGCTATCATACACATGCTAGAACTAATATATACCGCACTTGAAAAGAAAGAAGTTCCGCTGGGCATTTTCATTGATTTACGTAAAGCTTCCGATACAGTCGACCATGAACGGCTGTACTCCAAATTAATGCACTATGGTATCAGAGGCCACTCCCTCAACTACCTAAAGTCATACCTTAGTAACAGAACTCAATATGTGATGCAAACTCTTTCACCCAACCATTCACAGTAGGAGTCCCACAAGGAAGCGTCTTTGGACCACTCCTCTTTCTCATCTACATCAATGATCTACTGAATGCATCACAGCTACTCAAACCCATATTATTTGCAGATGACACTACATATGTCTTTTCCCACCCAAACACAAGTCATACTAGCAAACACAGTCAATGCTGAATTACAGAAAATATCTGCCTGGATGATGACTAACAAACTTACCCTGAACACTGATAAAACCTATTTCATTCAGTTTGGAAACAAAGCTGCAAATGATCCAATTAACATAATGTTAAATGGATCATCAGTCACAAGTCTCAAAGAGGGAAAATTCCTAGGTATCCACCTTGACAGTAGCCTTAAGTTCCAGACATACATACAACAAATCACCAAGAAAATCTCCAAGACTGTAGGCATACTATCAAAGATAAGGTACTACGTTCCACAATCAGCTCTCCTGGCACTGTACCATTCACTCATATACCCTTATCTTACATATGGAATTTGTGCATGGGGATCAACAACATCCAATCACCTAAAACCCCTAATAACCTAGCAAAAGGCAGCAGTAAGAATGATGACAAATTCCCACTCCCACCAGCATACTCCACCAATTTTCAACAGTCTGAATCTGCTCACCATTAAGAACATCCATACTTATTCATGTGCCTACTACATACACAGAACAATACACGCAAATATAAACCCCCACTCAAACTTCTCACCAACCAAAACAGGACATATGACCACAACACAAGACACAGATCTCTTTTTGATATACCTCGTGTCCATATCACACTGTGTAAAAACTCTATGCACATAAAGGGCCCCAAAATATGGAATTCATTACCAGAAGATATTAAAGTAACCCAGTCTGAAAAATCAATTTAAGACTCTTCTCAAAAGCCACTTAATCACCCTAGACTAAATGCTAAATACTCAGTACACATTTACTCACCTATGTACTCCCACATCATAACTTCAACAATCACATTGAACCTTTTATCCATTGTTGACAGGAATATAATTGAATCATTGTTTTCACAAAAGCATTTTAGAATATAAATATATCTTTGTATTATACAAATTTTGATTCATTCATAATTAATATTCTACTGTACAACTATGAAATAATTACTATCCTACTGTACAACTATGATATAATCCTTAGTATTAAGTAGACTGTAAGCCAATAATGTTAAGTTTGCCCATAATGCCAGGCATAATAGAGGCTCTCTTTGCATTGCAACCCACTATTGTAAATATAAAATCTCAGTGTATTGTTTGCAAAGACATAAAATAAATAAATAAATAAATGTGACTAGTTAATGGTCCAAGTCAGACTGAAACATAATAAGTTTCAATCTCCTATATGTGGATTATTTGTGTATTAATGACAAAATATTATAAAATTAATAGGGTACTATTTGTTAGGTAATGTAACCTTGGTGGGAGACAATTAGTGTCGAAAAATAAAAATTCTTTGTCATACTTTCATGGGAAATTTTTAATAATTGGTTATGTAATATTTTGTACTATTGCAGGTATTCGTGTTGCCTTGCTGTTGACAGCTTTCCTACTGAGTCTCGGAACTGCAGTTAGGTGTCTTACAACTGAAGAAAAGTCATTTACTGTGTAAGTTGATAAAGGAAACCATATTGCCTAAGAAATCTATTACTTTTTTGTTAAAAATTTGAACCAGTTATGAACATCATGTTCCTAAATGAATTGCATTTGCTCAAAATTCATTGCTCTGAGAGTAGAAAACTCTCGGAACTCATCAAAGGCATACTAGTGGCTTTCTTTTGTGTCTAATATTTCATTACATATAAGCTACATTATCTCTGTACTGCATAAAAGAACTAAAGATTTGAATTTGAACATACAGTAGTTCTCCTGTATCTGTGGGGGATACATTCCAAGCCCTACCATGGATACCTGAAACCGTGAATTGTAGCAAACCCTATATATAAGTCATTTTTTGTTTATATATGTACCCATGATAAATTTAATTGATAAATTGCACAAAATAAATCAAGAATTGACACTTATTCACTGATGGGAAGCACTGCCTGGCTTCTCTTAGGTTTTGAAGAGCTGCTATCATCACTGCTTTGCACTTTTCAGCCATTATTAAGCAAAATTAAGGGTTATTTTCGGGCCACGGTAAGCCATGAGTAACTGAAATATTGGAAACCAAATCCGTGGGTACGGGGGTTCCACTTTATAGTGAGTAAGAAATGTATCAACGACTCACAAAACTGCAGTAACACGACTGCAAACAAATCACATTGTGAATTTTAGGACTCGCTTGCTGGGGATTCAAGCCTCACCGATTGTGTGATTTGTATGAATTTTTTATTTCAATAATGGGGATTATAGTGTCAGTTTTGCATTCATGCTATTATAATAAAGCATTTTGCTTTTATAATACAGCCTCTCCTCACTTAACAACGGAGTTCCGTTCCTTAGACCACGTCGGTAAGCGAATTCATCGCTAAGTGAGGAGCACACTATAATGGTAGTGGGTTTGTGTCAACCATCTTTGATATCGCTTTAATGTCGCCTTTGCACCATTTATAACATTTCTGGTATATTTTTAAATGTTTATACAGTAGTGTACTGTATACTGTAATAAACAGAATAGAGGAACTCAGTTCTAATATACATTATTTAGGTATGCATACTGGTCGGAGAGTCCGTCATAAGTCTGAGGCGTCGGTAAACGAGTACATAGCTAAGTGAGAGGCTGTATGCAGTTTGACATTCCATGAGGACATAGGAGTTTATTAGTCATGATTTTGTTACTAATGTTGCTATATTATTAATGTGTCTGCTTGCCTGACCATGGCTTGTTTCAGCACCTCCATCTCTTTCTCCCTCCACCTCCATCTCTCTCCTTCCACCTCCATCTCTCTTCTCCATCATGGAGCATTGTGGATATATTAATCTTCCAAACATGGTATTATTAATATTTTTAAGGAGCCTCTAATTTTTGGGACCTTAGGTGTTTCCTACTAACTGTAATGCAGTATAACTTGCTTTGGCATTTAAGGAAAATTATTACTTAACAAGGCAGTGACTGAAGAAGCTCATCTTTTTTTAAAGCACACACTAATGGTCTGACCATGTTGTACAGCCTCTGCTTACAGTCTGTGGTGTTTTCTTATTGTTGGGTCTCTATGTGCCCACAGGAAAATCTTGAGTGATTCCAGTACTTAATTAGGAAAGCTGCAGATGTCTTCTGTTATTACTGTATGTTTAAATTACCAGTGGGTCAGATAAATTAGACACATGTGCAACTCTTGGGTATCTTTATTGAGGAAATGTTTCGCCACACAGTAGCTTCATCAGTCCATACAAAGGAGAATCTTGAAGAACAGGAGGAGAACGAGGTAATCAGTCCCTCAGCCTTGAGTTGATGTGGTCAGTCCATCAATCTTGAATAGAATACGGTATAAGTGCGGAGAAGCAGCTTATAAACCGTAGGCAGGAGAGGTGCAGCAGTTATAGGTGGTGTCACATTTGTTCAATGTGGAAGTAGGTCGTGCCCAAGGGTTAGGCAAGCGAAGAATTCCCAAGTATTAAGATCCCAAGAAGTTGCAGTGTCTGACAGGATTGTAGATCAATGGTTCAGAGAACCGACACGTTGATAAATTAGACACATGTGCAACTCTTGGGTATCTTTATTGAGGAAACGTTTCGCCACACATTGGCTTCACCGCACTTATGTCGTATTCTATTCAAGATTGATGGACTGACCACATCGACTCAAGGCTGAGGGACTGATTACCTCGTTCTCCTCCTGTTCTTCAAGATTCTCCTTTGTATGGACTGATGAAGCCACTGTGTGGCGAAACGTTTCCTCAATAAAGATACCCAAGAGTTGCACATGTGTCTAATTTATCAACATGTCGGTTCTCTGAACCATTGATCTACAAACCAGTGTGTCAGATTAAATGAATTTCTGTTGTGAAGCCTGACTCAGATCATGGAGATGTTAGGCCAACAAAATGAGTATATTTCAAATGGAGTTATATGATTTCGAATATATGAAAAATTCCTTCCTTCATAAGCAGCTTGTATCATAAGAGGTGACTAAAATGCCAGGAGCAAGGGGCTAGTAACTCATTCTCATGTATAAATTACTAGATGTAAAAAGAAGACAAACTTTATGAAAGTTTTTTCTTTTGGGTCACCCTGTCTCGGTAGGAGACAGCATTTTAAAGCAAAAAATATGAAAAATGGCTAGATAACAAAGAATAAATTATGGTTGGTCATCTCCATTATACTGTTAGCACATGCTTCCTAGGTGGCATACAGCAGAGCGAGAACCAGCAGGTCCACAACTCAACAAATTTACTGTTAGGTAAATGGACATGGATGCAACTAATGTGACATTTTATTGTGGCAAAGTGGAGAGCAAAATGTCTCAGTAAAATGTCACATTAGTTGCATTTCTGTCCTTTTTGGTAATTTTACCATTATTATAGATTTACTGTTGCACAATGAACATAGCACAAGGCTTAAATAATGGGAGCTGCCAGTCATGAGCATTAAAGCAGTACATCAGACTCCTTACTCCCTCAACCTAATCTAATGAAACTATTGTTTAAAAGGTACCCTGCTCCATATACATTGAAAGAAAGGCACAGGTGAAGGGTTCCCATGGCTGCTGGTAATTCTTGTATGTCAAACACATTAAGACTCAATTATAGCAAATTTAATGGATCAATCATTCAAAACAATGGTTAACTAAGCTTTTAGTACAACATAAGTGCAACCTTACATCATCTTATGTCATCAATGGTTAACTAAGCTTTTAGCACAACACAAGTGCAACCTTACATCATCTTATGTCATCAAGACTCCGACTCATCCAGCCCACAGGTGTCATTTTTTGTCCAAGTATTACCAGATGAATTATCACAGTGATGTCCTTTACAAGAGCATAAACTATAATATACATCCTCTCCTCACTTAATGACGGAGTTCTGTTCCTAAGACCATGTTGTTAAACGAATTCGTCGCTAAGTGAGGAGCATATTATGATGGTAGTGAGTTTGTGTCAACCACCTTTGATATTGTTTTAATGTCACCTTTGCACCATTTATAACATTTCTGGTATATTTTTAAATGTTTATACATTAGTGTACTGTATATTGAAATAAACAGAATAAAGGAAATTGGCTCTAATATACAGGGTGGGCCAAAAGTAGGCTTACACTTAGTAGGTATGCTCTTAACTCTTGCACCTGCTTGGTATTTTCACACTTCCAATACTGCTTTAGTATTGGAATACTGGTTTGGAATAATGGTTTGGAATATTGGTTTGGAATTATGGTTTGGATAAATTAAATCGAAAACATAAACAAATAGTAAAACAACTGTAAGCCTACTTTTGGCCACCCTGTACATTATTTAGCTATGAAAACTGGCCAGAGAGCCCATTGTAAGTCCGAGGCATTGCTCAATGAGTATGTCGCTAAGTGAGGAGAGGCTGTAACTTGCAGTGCTGCTCAGCAGTGGGCACACCAGCATGAACATTGTTATAGTTATATGCTGTAAGAATGTTGGTGAAGGGTACCTTACCTCTTAACATTTCATCATTCAAGTAATGGAGGGATTTGGATGTGCTTCTATTATGCTATAGATTGGTTCTTAAGGCTTTTTATTATTCTTACGACTTTTATAGTAGAATTCTTCCTCCGTATGCCATGCGTGTCGTAAGAGGCGACTAAAATGCGGGAGCAAGGGGCTAGTAACCTCTTCTCTTGTATATATTACCAAATTTAAAAGGCAGTTCGTTTTTCCTTGGGGCCCCCCTGCCTCTGTGGGATGTGGCCAGTTTGTTGAAAGTAGGCCTTTACAGTTTATGAATTTTTGAAAGTTAGCCCAAACAGTCATTATTCCTACTTACGAGCAATTGGGTATCATGCTCTCCTGACTACGTACTTCACATTTTGCCTCGTCATTCTGTCTAGGAAGTTGTAAGTCCCTGACGAAAGCAGAGACTTCTGCTATTGGCTCGAGTCACTGTAACTTGTTGCATACTCCATGATAGGGAGTATCAAGGAGTATGAAATACTCTGTGATACTTCCCGTTCTTGGATGAGATCTGGTTGTTTAAAGAATAAAAAGGCACAATACTGTGACTGGAACAGTGCACACATAACCTGCACATATGGGAAAGAAACTTATGGTGATGTTTTGGTCCAACTTGGACTATTAACTAGTTAACCCTTTCAGCGTTGGTCCAGTTATATAACAGCTTTGAAGCCAGTGTTGATCCTGTAGTACAACACCATGAGTTCAGCTCACTTATATAAGCTGTGAGTGATAAATTTGGGCCTAGATATGAGAGAATAGGTCTGTGCAGTAAGTGTGCACCATATAAAAAAAATACTGCAACACGCAGTGCGTAATGAGAAAAATGTGACTGTGTTTTTGGTTTAAAACCGCGACTTTGTGCCGTATTTTAATGTGGATTTTATGGTTGTTTCTCAGTTTCCTGGTCTCATTTGATAGAGTGGAAGATATATTACAGAAATAGAGGTGATTTTGATTCATTTCAGGTCTGAAAGTAGCTTGAAATTGAGCTCAAAGTAGTGGAAATGTTCGATTTTTGCCCATATTCCAGAGTACAGTACACATCCAGCTTGCCAGTCTAATACACATTTAGGAATGCACTGATGTTATTGTACAATTATTACAATAATGCAGTAGTCTGCATAACAGTAAATCTTCTATTTTTTGTGTGAATAAAAATTAAAAATGAAGAGCAAGTGTAGTTAATATAAGAGGGGCTCAGAGACATGACTAAAGAACAGAGGAACTGTTTTCTTATTGCCAGGAATGTCTTCATTATTTATTCTGGACCACATTTTTAACTAGTATTTTTTTAATTTTGTGTGAAATTGGTCAAATTACTGATTTCTAATCACTTTATTGAGTAATTAAAATAGATAAATGGGAATTTTCTTGTACTCATTCAATAGAATAGAAGGAACAATGGAACTGGCCAAAAATAGGGCACAAAGGGCAAAATCACCAATGCGCAAATATCACTGAGACCACTAACTTTGCGAAAGTGTAATTCCATAAGTTTTCCATTAAATTTCATACTTTTGGTTTCATTACCTTCAGAAAAAGATTCTATATCATTTTATAAGATAATTTTTTTTTTTTTTTAATTCTTCAACCCTGAGAGCAAGTTTGAGATCAGGGGTCTCTACCCTGAAAGGGTTAATGGTCAGAGACTTATGACATTTTGGTCTTACTTTGGTCTGATCATTAACTGGTTAACAGTCCAAGTCAGACCATGACATTTTGGTCTGATTTTGGTCCGATCATTAACTAGTTAACGGTTCAAGTTGGAACAAAACTATGTCATAAGTTTCTTTCTCCTCTGTGTGGTTATTTTTGTATCTAGATTTTTCATTCCCCAAATGCTTTATTTTCCCTTTTTTCAGTCCTTATGAATATAATGTTAATAATAGTCTGAATACTTATGTTACAGTCTGGCTCATGTTGGGGCTGTACTCAATGGGTTTGCTGGCATTATTATAGGTGCTGCTCCATCCTTAATTTCCTCCAGGTGGTTTCCACCAAATGAGCGAACAACTGCTACAGGTTTGTCCTTAGACCTTCATCGTAACTGTAAATAATCTACTACTTTCTTTGTGTAAAACCCTCAGTGTCATTGTGAATAGTCTTGTGGATTAATCTACCACTTTCTTTGTATAAAACCATCATCATTGTAAATAGTCTTGTGGATTAATCTACTACTTTCTTTGTATAAAACCATCATTATTGTAAATAGTCTTGTGGATTAATCTACTACTTTCTTTGTATAAAACCATCATTATTGTAAATAGTCTTGTGGATTAATCATTTACCTCTTTCTTTGTATAAATCTTAAGCTGTTTGGCTAATAACTCAACCTTTTTTTACCTTTAAGGAAAATTTGGTTGACATTATTGTTTGTTGTCTACCACTTGAACCATTACTGCAGGATTCATTAACATCATTTCAATGTTAAAAATTCACCTCTAAACATGAGAAATTTTACAAAACATGGAAATTTGAGATCTCTTCCTGAACCAAATTACTACATCTCTTTGGTATATTTCAGGAATTGGCTGCACCTTCAACCAGTTAGGAAATGCTGGTGGGTTCTTCCTTGGCCCATGGCTTGTTCACATGCCAAAGAATCATAACCATACAGATAGTGATGACATAGACAATCTGAGAAAAAGTATAAGAGACTACATGTGGATCAGTAAGTAATGAGAGGAAGCTCATCATAAAGCCATCTTGGTCTTTCAAACATCTCCATTCACAAATTCTATAATTATTATTTATTGTTTATGACTTTTTTGTATATGGGAAGAAATTATACAAAGCATGACTACAAATATGAAGAAAAATATCATTGAAAAAATTTAACTGAAGGGACATGCCCAGGTGTTTTCATGAGCTTAAACGTATATATTTGAAGGAAGACATACATATGTACTTGTGTGTGTGTGCAGGTGCATATGTGCACATGCAACATAAAATTTTGAAGGGCTATCAAAATTCTGGTTGCATATTTTCACTTGTGTTGCATTAAAATCCTGTAGCAGGATTCATTGTGTTGTGCTTATACAGCAGATAAAATAAAACATTTCCCCTCTCATCTAAGCTCGAGACAATAATAATACAGAGATCCTGAACCTATGAGTGCCTGTGTTACAAACATCCTCACTTATGAATGAAGTTCTTTAGAAACATAAAAAATATTTTTTTATGACAACCATCATTTTAATTATTGTTTTCTGTAAAAAATAGGTTCCAAGTAACAAATATTTTTGGAACACCAGGAACACAACTCATTTGCTAATTGGAGACTTCTTATCCTGTGCAGACTTTTTGAAAAAATAATTGTGCTACTCATTTCAGCTAAATATATAATAAAACACTCTAATTGCTGATTTCAGTTAATCTTATACTAGGAATGCACTTAATCTTTCCTCATTACAGCTGCAGGCATATGTATTTCCCTCTTCCTTGGGGTTGTATCATACTTCCCAGACAAACCCAGGAAACCTCCATCTCTCAGTTCGTTCGTCCATGAACATCCGAGTCCATTTGTGAAGGATATAAAAATGCTCTTGAGGTTGGTAGTCTGTTTATATTGACAATCTTAGTGCCTAGCACTTGGTTTTATGATGGCTTGATTTTTGAAAATAAAATGCACATTTAAACAAGAAGGTTTCATTGTATTAATGGTATACAGTATCAAAAAACGTTATCTATGGAGGCAAAGAAGGGAATGTATGAAAGTATAGTAGTACCAACACTCTTATATGGGTGTGAAGCTTGGGTTGTGAATACAGCAGCGAGGAGGCGGTTCGAGGCAGTGGAGATGTCCTGTTTAAGGGCAATGTGTGGTGTAAATATTATGCAGAAAATTCGGAGTGTGGAAATTAGGAGAAGGTGTGGAGTTAATAAAAGTATTAGTCAGAGGGCAGAAGAGGGGTTGTTGAGGTGGTTTGGTCATTTAGAGAGAATGGATCAAAGTAGAATGACATGGAAAGCATATAAATCTATAGGGGAAGGAAGGCGGGGTAGGGGTCGTCCTCGAAAGGGTTGGAGAGAGGGGGTAAAGGAGGTTTTGTGGGTAAGGGGCTTGGACTTCCAGCAAGCGTGCGTGAGCGTGTTAGATAGGAGTGAATGGAGACGAATGGTACTTGGGACCTGACGATCTGTTGGAGTGTGAGCAGGGTAATATTTAGTGAAGGGATTCAGGGAAACCGGTTATTTTCATATAGTCGGACTTGAGTCCTGGAAATGGGAAGTACAATGCCTGCACTTTAAAGGAGGGGTTTGGGATATTGGCAGTTTGGAGGGATATGTTGTGTATCTTTATATGTGTATGCTTCTAGACTGTTGTATTCTGAGCACCTCTGCAAAAACAGTGATAATGTGCGAGTGTGGTGAAAGTGTTGAATGATGATGAAAGTATTTTCTTTTTGGGGATTTTCTTTCTTTTTTGGGTCACCCTGCCTTGGTGGGAGACGGCCGACTTGTTGAAAAAAAAAAAAAAAAAAAAAAAAAGTATCAACAAGATGATGAATTAGACATGTGTAACTTTATATTTTTTGAAATAAGTGAACTTTGATTTTGATCACATGTACTTTCAGAAAATCTCTACTTAGTACTGAGATAAACTTATTTTTTCTCCCTAGCATTACTATGAGTAACAAGCCAAAATTATTAACCCTTAAACTGTCCAAACGTAGATCTTCGTCCACGTGCAGGAGGCTCTGAACGTAGATCTACATTTTTTTTTTACTTGCTTTCCAATGGGGAAAATCAAGGTCGAAGCGCTATGCACATGAACGTAGATCTACGTTTGGACAGTTTAACCCTTAAACTGTCCAAATGTAGCTATACGTTGATGTGCGGCAGGCTCCGAACGTAGATCTACCTTTTTTTACATGCTTTCAAATGGGGAAAATCAAGGTCGGAGCACTACGCACGTGAACATAGATCTACATTTAGACAGTTTAAGGGTTAAGGGTTAACTGAATTTAAATAAAAAAATAATATAATGTGTGTTGAAGTAGTTTAGCTTTTTAATTCTTTGAAACAAATTTCTTTTTGGCTCATTAAATATAACTTTTATTCTACTCTTTGCTGTTTTCCTTAATTTTAGTTACAGTATATCTAACTTGTATTATTATTGTTATTATTATTATTCTAATGCCAGCCATCTTCCACCGTGACAGGGTGACCCAAAAAAGAAATGAAAATATTTCTTCTTTTTACATTTAGTAATTTATACAGGAGAAGGGGTTACTAGCCCATTGCTCCAGGTGTTTTAGTCACCTCTTACGACATGCATGGCTCATGGTGGAAGGATTCTTTTCCACTTTCCCAGGGAGATGAAAGAAAAATAATTAAGAACAATTCTTACACTCTAAAGGAGGGGTTTGGGGTCTTTGCTATTTAGAGGGACGTCTAAACTGTCGTATCTGTGCGCCTTTGGCAAGACAGTGATAGCGTGAATGATGGTGAAAGAGTTTTTTTTTTTGGGGGGGTCACCATGCCTCTATGGGAGATAGCCAGCATGTTAAAAAAAACTATTAAGAAAATAGAAGAAAACTCAGATAGGCTTGTATCCATATATGTGTACATGTACACATGTGACCTAAATATAAGTAAAAGTAGCAAGATGTACCTGTTATCTTGCGTGTTTATGAGACAGTACGAAAAGACACCAGCAGTCCTACCATTGTGTAAAACAGTGACAGGTTTCCATTTCACATTCGTTTGGCAGGACAGTAGTAACTCCCTGGGTAATTGCTATCTTCCACATGTGCAAGTTAATTGTTCTATCATACTGTATCACTACTACTACTACTACCACCACTACCACCACTAACACTGCACCTCACTCTTAAGCCTATGTATACCCTTTGTGTCCACATATTGTTTGTAACGTCTTGACAAAACTCCTGGAGAGCGAAACGTTGCCACAATAAAATATCACATTAATTGCACTTGTGTCCTTTTACTTTACAAAAAGGAAGTTATAATTTTTTGTGGGTCAGAGTACTCACCATCAAGAGAGTGAATTACAAGTGAAGGTGTAAGGTGAACTAAAGATGAAAGTGAGGTCAGTGCTGTGCTAGGCAGAGGGTCTTGATCATTGCATCTACACCCACTCACACCAGCTACAAAAGCAACAAAACTTTGTGTTATCACAAATTTGTATCATGAGCATTTGTGATGAAGACTAAATATGTCAGAATCATAAGTTCAGTCTGCCTAAACTGCAAATGCTCTAAATGTTCATTTCAGCTGAATGTACTTTAAAACATTCATGACCTTGCCCCTTGTCATCATTCTAATACTTGACAGAATCAGGTTGTTTGTTCTCTTACCATTCAGCAAGATCTCTTGAAAATATCCCCTAGATTACATAGTTATAATACAGTACTGTATAACATTTTGAAATGCGAAAAACTATTTGCTACCTTTTGAAATACCTTGATACCACCAGCTGGCCCTCCTTAACACTTTTCAGTCTATTTTGCTCCATTCTACCCTTCTTTCTTATCCAGATACACCTTTTTTATAGTTGAGGCTGGCTCAAAAAACCAGCTGAGTCAGAACAGCTAATATGAGGTGGCAGAGGTCAACACAGTTTATTGAACCACATCACGGAAAGTAATCTTTCATACATTGTAATATTGTATTGTGTGTTCATGTTTGACAAACAGTTAGGTATCTTTTTATTAGCTCCTTTAATTCCATGAGAAGGCAGTTGTATTCTGAAAAACAGGTGCGTCGAAAAACTGTAGCATAGACTGGAAACTCTTAGCCTATTTGATGGTGAATGTGAAAACCAAATTTCTAGAAAGACTCATTGGCCAGGATAAAAGTGTATAGGGGATACTATACACTTATGTCCTGGCCCTGAACAAAGCCCTAAGCCCTGAGTTAGGGATTGGCTTCAGCTGATCTTCCTGTTATGCTAAAGAAATCTTGATCACTACATTCATGTTTGTACACACTGACTTCAAAATGTATTTATATGTACCTGTACCATACATATTTGCTATTCAGTATCATTTCATCCCCTTTGTAGTTTCTGTGACATGAAGTATTGCATGGAAGAAAAAAATAAGTAGTAAATGTATGCAATGGAGAAGAATGCAGGTGTGGGAGAGATTGGAGCTATGAAGCTTAAGTTTTTGCATATTACTTTGTTATGGGGCTCTGAGTGTAATTTGCAATAGACAAGACAATATCTACACATTCCCACAGTCAGATGAAACACTAAGGAATCAGTTTGTTTATTAACCCAAATTTTGGCTATGGTACCACTTATTCTTTTCTGCCTTGCAACATTTATTTATTGCAAACTCTGACTTCATCTCCTGCTAATCCTGTGGGCATGATTTATACTTTGTATTGCAATATATTTCATAATTTACTTACTGTACAGAAAGTTTTCACCATGAGTGACTTTAGTACCATAATATAAACAGCTGTATATTTCAGCAACAGAAATATTTGGATGCTGGTGGTGCCATACAGTATTACCCTTGGAATCAACGTGGCCTGGTCCAGCGTCCTTGACATTAATGTAGCACCTTTTGGTATCTCACAGGTTAGTCTACAAGTTGGGTAGTAACACAGTACTTTAGTTATTTTGATGTAATTTTTTTTCAACTTTAATTGATTTCCTGAGGTTTTGCTTAATCTGTTGCACGTAAAGCCTCAAAATTGCTAAGGTCATATTTGTAGATGTTCCTTTGAAGCTAAAATTATACAGTACAGTACCACTAGATTTTGTCAGTATAGAAATGATAGTACCGTGACTGGAGCAATGGACAAATAACCCGCACATAACTTTTTTTCAGATTTTGGCTAATTTTGTCAGGTACCTTATCACTTTAAATATTGATCCAATCTCTAATATTGACATGCATAAGAAGGAATGCCCTGAAAGAGGAGAGAATTTGACTTGGTAATTCCTGTGAGCACATTTTGAATGAAATCCTCTAATTGGTTTTCAATTTAAAGGTCATTTTGTTTGCTTGGTTAGCCACTAGACTTTGTAGCTGTGTGTAGTTGTTATGCATAGTGGCCACAGTGGCTCATGGCCTGGTGGCAAAAATTCTTGCTTCACAGGGTGAGGATCTGGGTTCGATTCCCTGCAAGGGTTGAAACATTGGGCATGTTTCCTTACACCAGTTGTCTATGTTCACCTATCAGTAAAATGGGTACCTGTGTGTTAGTCAAATGGTGTGGGTCACATCCCGGAACAAAACTGACCTAATTTGTCCGAAATACTCTGCATAATAAGCGGCGTTCTATGTAGTAATATGTCATTGATGTCAGCTAGACCTGTATACCTTGTATATATACTTGTAGAAATAAAGATATTATTTTAATTTATTAACACACTGGTCATATCCCACCAAGGCAGGGTTGCCCGAAAAAGAAAAACTTTCATTATTCGCTCCATCACTGTCTTCCCAGAGGCACTCACACTACAGTAATAAAACTGCAACATTAACACCACTTCAGAGTGCAGGCACTGTACTTCCCATCTCCAGGACTCAAGTTCAACCCACCGGTTTCCCTGAATCCCTTCATAAATGTTACCTTGCTCACACACCAACAGCATGTCAAGTTCTAAAAATAATTTGTCACCATTCACTCCTGTCTAACGCACATATGCATGCTTGCTGTAAGTCCAAGCAAATCGTACACAAAACTTCCTTGACCCCCTCCCTTCAACCTTTCCTAGGCTGACCCCTACCTTGCCTTCCCTCCACTACAGATTTATACAGTTTTGAAGTCATTCTATTTCATTCCATCCTCTCTACATGTCAAACTGGATATTCTTGCCTTTTGGAATTTGCCAAAAAAAAATTCAGTCATTTGAGCATCTCTGCGAATGTATTGTTTTCATGCCAAAACCAGAATAAAGAAAAAAGCTAGTTATTGCAATTATATCCATGGAGCCCTTAAGTAAAAACAGTGGATGTATAATCGAAGCACAAATTTGGAGATTGCTGATTTGTGGGTTTGAGTGTACAGTACTTTGGTGTCCTCCTCCAGTATATCCTTGTTTTGCTCCTTTCACAATTATGTACTGAATAAAAAGGCACAATAATGTGACTGGAACTGTGCACAAATAACTCACTTGAGAGAAGGACAACATTTCGGAGTTATGACAACATTTCGGTGTTTCAGTATATACATTTTGTAATAAGGGAGTATAGAGGTAATTTTATAGCTAATTTTTTTTCTGCGTGTTTGGTATGCTGTTATTTTTTGGTAAAAATTTGTAAGGAAATGTGTAATTTCTTTTGATGCTCATGTGAGTTTGCTGAGAATATACTTGATGAGAGTATCAAATGATTTAGATAAAGAAAAATTGGATATCAAATTGGGAAGGAGGAGTATGGAAGAAGTGAATGTTTTCAGATACTTGGGAGTTGACGTGTCGGTGGATGGATTTATGAAGAATGACGTTAATCATAGAATTGATGAGGAAAAAAAGGTGAGTGGTGCGTTGAGGTATATGTGGAGACAAAAAACGTTACCTATTGAGGCAAAGAAGGTAATGTATGAAAGTATAGTAGTACCAACACTCTTATATGGGTGCAAAGCTTGGGTTGTGAATGCAGCAGTGAGGAGGCGGTTGGAGGCAATGGAGATGTCCTGTCTAAGGGCAATGTGTGGTGTAAATATTATGCAGAAAATTTGGAGTGTGGAAATTAGGAGAAGATGTGGAGTTAATAAAAGTATTAGTCAGAGGGCTGAAGAGGGGTTGTTGAGGTGGTTTGGTCATTTAGAGAGAATGGATCAAAGTAGAATAACATGGAGAATGTATAAATCTGTAGGGGAAGGAAGGCGGGGTAGGGGTCGTCCTCGAAAAGGTTGGAGGGAGGGGGTAAAGGAGGTTTTGTGGGCGAGGGGCTTGGACTTCCAGCAAGCATGCGTGAGCGTGTTAGATAGGAGTGAATTGAGACGAATGGTATTTGGGACCTGACGATCTGTTGGAGTGGGGGCAGGGTAATATTTAGTGAAGGGATTCAGGGAAACCAGTTATTTTTATATAGCCGGACTTGAGTCCTGGAAATGGGAAGTACAACGCCTGCACTCTAAAGGGGGGGTTTGGGATATTGGCAGTTTGGAGGGATATGTTGTGTATCTTTATACATATATGCTTCTAAACTGTTGTGTTCTGAGCACCTCTGCAAAAACAGTGATTATGTGTTAGTGAGGTGAAAGTGTTGAATGATGATGAAAGTATTTTCTTTTTGGGGATTTTCTTTCTTTTTTGGGTCACCCTGCCTCGGTGGGAGACGGCCGACTTGTTAAAAAAAAAAAAAAATTCCTAACGATCTTTCTAATGAATGTCGATATTAATTAGTGCACTAAATGTGTTGGCATTCCTTTCAGGATGAGGCCAGCTGGTTGGGTGTTTATGTGACACTAGGTGGTGTTGTGATGGCTTTATTATGCGCCAGATTGTCAGATATTTTGTTTGGCTACATGAAGCTGACTATTATAACACTGATGGTAATTGCAACATTAGGATTCACATGGTTTCTTCTGATCATGAATGAATGTCTTCCCTACAACAAAGGTACGGTATTATCTTCTTGCTGCACTCATTTCAGGTTAATGTTACTGTTCATTCACCTCACCTGTATTCTTAGAATTTTTTTTTAACACGTCTCCCACCGAGGCAGGGTGACCTGAAAAAGAAAACTTCACCATCATTTGCACTATTACCTTCTTGCCATAGCTGCACAGATACGACAGTTCAGGTGTCCCTCCAAACAGCAGATATTCCAGTCCCCTCCTTTAGAGTACAGGCAATGTACTTCCAACTTTCAGGACTCAAATCTGGCTAACCAGTTTCTCTGAATCCCTTCACAAAATATTACCTTGCTCACACTCCAACAGCTCATCATGTCCCAAGTACCATTTGTCTCCACTCACTCCTATTTAACATACTCACACATGCCTGCTGTATTCCTACGAGAATGCGTGCATTAAAATTACCAGCAAAACCTCGATTTAATTGACTAGTAGTTGGAGCGGATGGCTAGTGATGGCTATTTTGGTGGATAGAGATGAGATTGTGTGTCCATGATAGTAACAACAACAAACAATTCTGTAATTAACAGACTGTCTGTTGTTGGTGAATCAACTCGCCCATATTTCCAGAATTCATTAAATTGCGGGTTACTGTGCCTGTGTACCAAGAGCAAAGTCAGCATTTTGAGCAAACATACTGAACAAATGTGGCAAAGCTGACAGGTGGTGACAAAGACAGTTACAGAGAGGAACTTTATCAAGGCATTTCATCTGTGGACAGACTGCTTTTGACAATCATTGACTGAAGAAACCTGTCCTCAGACAAAGCCTCTCAATAAAAGTTCCTCTCTGAAATTTTGTCTTTTTCACCATACTGATGCTTTTCCAGTTTTCTGTGCAGTAGCTGATTAATATATGTACTGTACATCATTTAAGATTAATGTTAGTGATCTTAATATAGGGTAATGTAAATTAAAAAAATATTAACCAACTTTTAGAATACAGCAGGGCCTTGTTTGTTTGGCTCTTTGATTCCATGCAATAAGCAAAAATCGCTGATGGGTGGAAAAGAGCAGTTATTTCAATCTCGATTTCATCTAAAACTCCTGATAACATGTTTACACTATCATATATTAACCCTTTCAGGGTTTCGGCCATACTAGTACGGCTTACACCCCAGGGTTTTTGACGTGCTAGTACGCTTAAATTCTAGCTCCCTCAAATCTAGTGAGAGAAAGCTGGTAGGCCTACATATGAAAGAATGGGTCTATGTGGTCAGTGTGCACAGTATAAAAAAAATCCTGCAGCACAGACTGGGCCGCGGGGGCGTTGACCCCCGAAACTCTCTCCAGGTAAACTCCAGGTAATGAGAAAAAAAAAACTTTGACCGTGTTTTTGGATTAAAACAGCGACTTTGCACTGCATTTTCTTATGGTATTTATGGTTGTATTGTAGTTTTCCTGGTCTCATTTTATAGAATGGAAGACATATTACAGAAATTGAGATGATTTTGGCTGGTTTTACAATGAAAAGTACCTTGAAATTGAGCTCAAAGTAGCAGAAATGTTTGATTTTTACCAAAGTTCAAAAGTAAACAAATCATGTCAAGCGTCCAATACACATCAACTGGTGAGTCTAATATTCTTTCACAAGTGCGTCGATAATATTTATATCATTTCTACACTAATGCAGTAGTCTGCATAACAGTAAATCTTTTTTTTTTTTGTAAGAATAAAAATTCAAAGTGGAAAGCCAAAGAAATATAAGAGGGGCCTGGGGATGTGACTGACGAACAGAGAACTTGTTATTTTAGAGCCAGGAAAGTCTTTCTTGTTTATTCTGGACCCTATTTGGAAATTGGCATCTTTTGAAATTTGTGTGAAATTGGCAAAATTGCTAAATTCTGACCACTTTATTGGATAGTTGAAATCGGTAAATGGGTGGTTTCTTGTAATCATTCGATAGAAAAAATAAAGTTCTAGCAAAATATTTATGATTTTTGTCAACTAGTACACTGGAATTGGCCGAAAATAGAGCTCAAAGTGGGCAAAATCGCTGATGCGTAAACATTGTCGAGACCGCTAACTTCACGAGAGCATAATTCCGTAAGTTTTCCATCAAATTTCATACTTTTGGTGTCATTACAATCGGGAAAAGATTCTCTATTTTTTCATAAGAAAAAATAATTTTTTTTTTTTTTTTTTTAAATTTGGGCAGAGGGCCTGGCGACCCTGAAAGGGTTAAGTGCTCAATACAACAATGCACAAAAGAACAAAGTAAAATAAATGCACAGTGCATACAATACTTATCTTAAAATGTGGTGCTGATTGCTTTTCTCTTATGCAACTGCTGTGCAAAAACTGTGGAAGAGCTGTAAAATCAATGAACATAATGAATAAATGAATAACGGTCAGTGCTTCATTGCTTGAAGAGGGTCACAAGCTAGACTGAAAATATTTGCTCTGTTTTCCAATTCTTGAATTTGAGTCATTTGATTAAAGTGGATTTTGTTTATACTTTAATAATTAATAGACTTAAACTATATACTCTGCCTTCAATGACTTCCAAAATCATAATAACACAATTGCAAATAAATCACAGAATGGGTGGGATTTGAACTCGTAGCAAGTGAATCCTAAAACTCACTGCCTATAAGTTCCAACCCAACCCATTCTGTGATCTGCACCTTAAGTGTTATATCAATGGAATCCTAATAATTTATGATTTTTTGCAGTTTACTTATTCGTCAGTGTGATTATAGGAGCATCCTTCAACTACGCTTGTTCGCCATTATTCTTTGAATTAGCAGTGGAATTGGCCTACCCTGTACCAGAGGGGGTAGTAGGAGCATTTCTTACAATGTGTTGGAACATAGTCAGTGCTACATTCCTCCTTACTATGCAAACACCAATGAAAAGTAAGTTTGGAACCTTATTTTTTTTCTTTTGCTAACTCATAGTAATTATATTTTATTATCAGATATTTCTTAATTTGTTTTGAAATACAGTTATTGAAAGAGTGATAGTAAATGTATTTTCATCTTTGAGTCATTCTGCCTTGGTGGGAAATGATTGATGTACTATATACTAAAAGAATAGAATTTTGCTTCTTTTTCTCTACTATCTGTATTCATAAAGCAATTTCTTACTGCTATTCATGCCTCACTGTGCAGAATGCTACACACTACTTTATTAAACCCTTCTTATCTACACTTCTCTCTATTTTATAATTTTAATAATATTTTTCTTTTGTACCTATTCTGTTCATATTCCTTTCCTCAACTTTCCCTGTACCAAGATCACAAGATGTTGTTGTGTCTGACAGATGTGATGAAATGATTTTGAGGGACTGATTACCTCAAACTCCTCATCATCTTCCACTGTTATTCCCTGTACTGGACTGAAGAAGCCACTGGCTGGCAAAAATGTTTCCTCAGTAAAGATTTCCAAATGTTACACAAGTGTCTCATTCTTGAACTTGTTGGTTTTCAAAAACATTTTCATCGCACCTGTTAGACACAGCAACATCTTAGGATATTGATATAGGGATTTCTTCAACACTTGCCTAACCTATAGACATGACCTATTTACACTAGTGGATTTGTCTGTTGGTGACTCCGCCTCCTACTTCTACTCATCTGACTGCAGTATAGTAGTATAAGCAACTTCTTCACACATATATGCTGTACATTTCTCAAGACTGATGGACACAGTACATCGACTCCAGGCTGAGGGACTTATTATCTCAAATTCCTCCTTATCTTCCATTGTTTTTCTCTGTTGGTGAAATATTTCCTCAGTAAAAATTCCCAAATATTGCACAAGTGTCTCATTCTTCGAGAGTTAGAGAAGTGATTTGGATGAATACTTGAACTGTGAAGTCTGCACACTTCTAGCAAGGCAGATAGCAAAGGAATGATGGTGACTGTGTTTCTTTCCCTTTATTACTCTAATTTTGTGGATAATGTACATTGTGGTAAAAAAAATTGTTTTAATGTACTGATTTTGTCCTTAATTTCTTATTTTGGTCCCTGCCTTTGAGAGCAGTGCCATGGTGCTACTGAATTGCTTTCAGTGCAGAAAATTAAGCTATCCTTCCTCTTCCTCAGAGTATACTTCAGTTCTTCCTCTTCCTCAGAGTATACTTCAGTTCCCCTCCCCCACCCCTCTCAGTCTCCATGCACTGGTGGGGCTTAAAAAATAAATATCTCAATATAATTTTTTGTTTCAGGTGTGATATGGATGGATTATATATTAGCCATCCAAGGCTTGGTTGTAGTGTTGCTGATGGTTTTTGTTAAGGAAGAATACAAGCGGACATCTGTTGACAAGGCTACCAGTGACCAGATTACTGAAAGTAATGAGCAAGAGGTACAAGCATAGTATACCTAGCATTTACATGTACCAAAGATTTAGTGTGTACAGTACTTATTTACTCTACCTATTTGAGTTTTTAAGGGGGTGAGCTCCAGCTCTTGGTACAGTCTTATTTTATCTGTTTGTAATCCATTGTTTAAATGCATATGTAAATTATTTTTAGCCTTGCTCAAAATTGTTACTGATTTTGAGTTTCTCATGTTTTTTAACTCATTCCTTATATAGCATTTTTTTTTTTTTTTTTTTTTTTTTTTGTATTGCCATTTGAGAGAGTATAGTGAGTTTCCTAAATGCAAACACTGTACTGTCAAACTCCCAAATTCATTAGGGTTTTATTTTCTTACAGACACTGTAAATTTAAATTCTGAAAATAAAAAAAATTATGTCTATATAATCAATTTTATTTTTTTTTTTTTTTTTTTTTTTTTCAACAAGTCGGTCGTCTCCCACCGAGGCAGGGTGACCCAAAAAAAAGAAAGAAAATCCCCAAAAAGAAAAATACTTTCATCATCATTCAACACTTTCACCACACTCACACATTATCACTGCTTTTGCAGAGGTGCTCAGAATATAACAGCTTAGAAGCATATACGTATAGAGATACACAACATATCCCTCCAAACTGCCAATATCCCAAACCCCTCCTTTAAAGTGCAGGCATTGTACTTCCCATTTCCAGGACTCAAGTCCGACTATATGAAAATAACCGGTTTCCCTGAATCCCTTCACTAAATATTACCCTGCTCACACTCCAACAGATCGTCAGGTCCCAAGTATCATTCGTCTCCATTCACTCCTATCTAACACGCTCATGCACGCTTGCTGGAAGTCCAAGCCCCTCACCCACAAAACCTCCTTTACCCCCTCTTTCCAACCCTTTCGAGGACGACCCCTACCCCTCTTTCCTTCCCCTATAGATTTATATGCTTTCCATGTCATTCTACTTTGATCCATTCTCTCTAAATGACCAAACCACCTCAACAACCCCTCTTCTGCCCTCTGACTAATGCTTTTATTAACTCCACACCTTCTCCTAATTTCCACACTCCGAATTTTCTGCATAATATTTACACCACACATTGCCCTTAGACAGGACATCTCCACTGCCTCCAACCGTCTCCTCGCTGCTGCATTTACCACCCAAGCTTCACATCCATATAAGAGTGTTGGTACTACTATACTTTCATACATTCCCTTCTTTGCCTCCATAGATAACGTTTTTTGACTCCACATATACCTCAACGCACCACTCACCTTTTTTCCCTCATCAATTCTATGATTAACCTCATCCTTCATAAATCCATCAGCCGACACGTCAACTCCCAAGTATCTGAAAACATTCACTTCTTCCATACTCCTCCTCCCCAATTTGATATCCAATTTTTCTTTATCTAAATCATTTGATACCCTCATCACCTTACTCTTTTCTATGTTCACTTTCAACTTTCTACCTTTACACACATTCTCAAACTCATCCACTAACCTTTGCAATTTTTCTTTAGAATCTCCCGTAAGCACAGTATCATCAGCAAAAAGTAACTGTGTCAATTCCTATTTTGAATTTGATTCCCCATAATTTAATCCCACCCCTCTCCCGAACACCCTAGCATTTACTTCTTTTACAACCCCATCTATAAATATATTAAACAACCATGGTGACATTACACATCCCTGTCTAAGACCTACTTTTACCGGGAAGTATTCTCCCTCTCTTCTACACACCCTAACCTGAGCCTCACTATCCTCATAAAAGCTCTTTACAGCATTTAGTAACTTACCACCTATTCCATATACTTGCAACATCTGCCACATTGCTCCTCTGTCCACTCTATCATATGCCTTTTCTAAATCCATAAATGCAATAAAAACTTCCCTACCTTTATCTAAATACTGTTCACATATATGCTTCAATGTAAACACTTGATCTACACATCCCCTACCCACTCTGAAACCTCCTTGTTCGTCCGCAATTCTACATTCTGTCTTACCTCTAATTCTTTCAATTATAACCCTACCGTATACTTTTCCTGGTATACTCAGTAAACTTATTCCTCTATAATTTTTACAATCTCTTTTGTCCCCTTTCCCTTTATATAAAGGGACTATACATGCTCTCCGCCAATCCCTAGGTACCTTCCCCTCTTTCATACATTTATTAAACAAAAGTACCAACCACTCCAACACTATATCCCCCCGTGCTTTTAACATTTCTGTCATGATCCCATCAGTTCCAGCTGCTTTACCCCCTTTCATTCTACGTAATGCCTCACGTACCTCCACCACACTTACAGTCTGCTCTTCTTCACTCCTAAAAGATGGTATACCTCCCTGGCCAGTGCATGAAATTACCGCCTCCCTTTCTTCCTCAACATTTAAAAGTTCCTCAAAATATTCTCGCCATCTACCTAATACCTCCCTCTCCCCATCTATTAACTCCCCTACTCTGTTTTTAACTGACAAATCCATACTTTCCCTAGGCTTTCTTAACTTGTTTAACTCACTCCAAAATTTTTTCTTATTTTCATTAAAATTTCTTGACAGTGCCTCTCCCACTCTTTCATCTGCTCTCCTTTTGCACTCTCTCACCACTCTCTTCACCTTTCTTTTACTCTCCATATACTCTGCTCTTCTTATAACACTTCTGCTTTGTAAAAACCTCTCGTAAGCTACCTTTTTCTCTTTTATCACACCCTTTACTTCATCATTCCACCAATCACTCCTCTTTCCTCCTGCCCCCACCCTCCTATAACCACAAACTTCTGCCCCACATTCTAATACTGCATTTTTAAAACTATTCCAACCCTCTTCAACCCCCCCACTACTCATCTTTGCACTAGCCCACCTTTCTGCCAATAGTTGCTTATATCTCGCCCGAACTTCCTCCTCCCTTAGTTTATACACTTTCACCTCCCTCTTACTTGTTGTTGCCACCTTCCTCTTTTCCCATCTACCTCTTACTCTAACTGTAGCTACAACTAAATAATGATCCGATATATCAGTTGCCCCTCTATAAACATGTACATCCTGGAGCCTACCCATCAACCTTTTATCCACCAATACATAATCTAACAAACTACTTTCATTATGTGCTACATCATACCTTGTATATTTATTTATCCTCTTTTTCATAAAATATGTATTACTTATTACCAAATTTCTTTCTACACATAGCTCAATTAAAGGCTCCCCATTTACATTTACCCCTGGCACCCCAAAATTACCTACTACTCCCTCCATAACATTTTTACCCACTTTAGCATTGAAATCCCCAACCACCATTACTCTCACACTTGATTCAAAACTCCCCACGCATTCACTCAACATTTCCCAGAATCTCTCTCTCTCCTCTACACTTCTCTCTTCTCCAGGTGCATACACGCTTACTATAACCCACTTTTCACATCCAATCTTTATTTTACTCCACATAATCCTTGAATTTATACATTTGTAGTCCCTCTTTTCCTGCCATAGCTTATCCTTCAACATTATTGCTACTCCTTCTTTAGCTCTAACTCTATTTGAAACCCCTGACCTAATCCCATTTATTCCTCTCCATTGAAACTCTCCCACCCCCTTCAGCTTTGTTTCACTTAAAGCCAGGACATCCAGTTTCTTCTCATTCATAACATCCACAATCATCTCTTTCTTATCATTTGCACAACATCCACGCACATTCAGACTTCCCACTTTGACAATTTTCTTCTTCTTATTCTTTTTAGTAATCTTTACAGGAAAAGGGGTTACTAGCCCATTGTTCCCGGCATTTTAGTTGACTTTTACAACACGCATGGCTTACGGAGGAAAGATTCTTATTCCACTTCCCCATGGATATAAAAGGAAAAGTAATAAGACCAAGAACTATTAAGATAAAATCAAAGAAAACTCAGATGAGTGTGTATAAATAAACGTGTACATGTATGTGTAGTGTGACCTAAGTGTAAGTAGAAGTAGCAAGACATGCCTGTAATCTTGCATATTTATGAGACAGACAAAAGACACCAGCAATCCTACCATCATGTAAAACAATTACAGGCTTTTGTTTTACACTCACTTGGCAGGACGGTAGTACCTCCCTGGGTGGTTGCTGTCTACCAATTTTATGTACAAGTGAAATTGTAATTGAAAACCTGCAGTTATTTTTTAACAAATTGCAATGAACAAACAGGAGCCTGCCACACCTTTACCAAATGAACATATACCAATGATAATTTTTATGAAGGTATTCGTGGAAACTGGTTAGCTAGATTTGAGTTGTGGAGGTTGGAAGGGCAGTGCCTTCACTCTGAAAGAGGAGTGAGGATGTTTCAGTTGGAGGATAATCTGAATTGTGATGTCATTACACTTCTGAAAAGATTGTGATTGAATAAATGATGATAAATGTGTTTTCTTCTTTGGGTCTCCCTGCCTTGGCAGGAGATGACAATTAAGTTTTAAACAAAAATACGTTTGATCAAGTCACCCTTCACTGTGTGACACCATCTGTCTCATTTCTTAATGAAGTTTGACAGACAATTCAGGTATGTGGTAGTGCTGGGTGATTATTATATTGACTGAAAAGTGCTTTGCCACTAAGTAAAGTGTAAGAGAAAGAAAATGCTAGGTCTCACATATTTGCTCTGCTAAGGTCTGTAGCAGCATCAGTATTCTAACAGATCTGAGGGAAAGCAGATAGCAGATGACACTCATTTCATACAGTGTTTTTCTAACTGAAGAATTCACTGAATTGTTCTCATTTAAACTTTCTCATTATTTATTATCATTTGGAAATATGTACAGTTACTGTATGCACAAGTATAGTGTAAATGCTGCCAAGTGGTAAGAAGATACTAAATGAGAAGTATTTATTGGTAGAATGTTTCACCTGTGAAAGGAGGTTCTGTCCATGAGAAACAGTAAAGGAACCAGAACTGTGCCTTGTGGTACTGAGCTCTTTGTTTTGCTGAAGCTAGATTTTTTTTTATTTTTTTTTTTTTTTATTATCACACTGGCCGATTCCCACCAAGGCAGGGTGGCCCGAAAAAGAAAAACTTTCACCATCATTCACTCCATCACTGTCTTGCCAGAAGGGTACTTTACACTACAGTTTTTAAACTGCAACATTAACACCCCTCCTTCAGAGTGCAGGCACTGTACTTCCCATCTCCAGGACTCAAGTCCGGCCTGCCAGTTTCCCTGAATCCCTTCATAAATGTTACTTTGCTCACACTCCAACAGCACGTCAAGTATTAAAAACCATTTGTCTCCATTCACTCCTATCAAACACGCTCACGCATGCCTGCTGGAAGTCCAAGCCCCTCGCACACAAAACCTCCTTTACCCCCTCCCTCCAACCCTTCCTAGGCCGACCCCTACCCCGCCTTCCTTCCACTACAGACTGATACACTCTTGAAGTCATTCTGTTTCGCTCCATTCTCTCTACATGTCCGAACCACCTCAACAACCCTTCCTCAGCCCTCTGGACAACAGTTTTGGTAATCCCGCACCTCCTCCTAACTTCCAAACTACGAATTCTCTGCATTATATTCACACCACACATTGCCCTCAGACATGACATCTCCACTGCCTCCAGCCTTCTCCTCGCTGCAACATTCATCACCCACGCTTCACACCCATATAAGAGCGTTGGTAAAACTATACTCTCATACATTCCCCTCTTTGCCTCCAAGGACAAAGTTCTTTGTCTCCACAGACTCCTAAGTGCACCACTCACTCTTTTTCCCTCATCAATTCTATGATTCACCTCATCTTTCATAGACCCATCCGCTGACACGTCCACTCCCAAATATCTGAATACGTTCACCTCCTCCATACTCTCTCCCTCCAATCTGATATTCAATCTTTCATCACCTAATCTTTTTGTTATCCTCATAACCTTACTCTTTCCTGTATTCACCTTTAATTTTCTTCTTTTGCACACCCTACCAAATTCATCCACCAATCTCTGCAGCTTCTCTTCAGAATCTCCCAAGAGCACAGTGTCATCAGCAAAGAGCAGCTGTGACAACTCCCACTTTGTGTGTGATTCTTTATCTTTTAACTCCACGCCTCTTGCCAAGACCCTCGCATTTACTTCTCTTACAACCCCATCTATAAATATATTAAACAACCACGGTGACATCACACATCCTTGTCTAAGGCCTACTTTTACTGGGAAAAAATTTCCCTCTTTCCTACATACTCTAACTTGAGCCTCACTATATTTTTTTTTTTTTATTATCACACCGGCCGATTCCCACCAAGGCAGGGTGGCCCGAAAAAGAAAAACTTTCACCATCATTCACTCCATCACTGTCTTGCCAGAAGGGTGCTTTACACTACAGTTTTTAAACTGCAACATTAACACCCCTCCTTCAGAGTGCAGGCACTGTACTTCCCATCTCCAGGACTCAAGTCCGGCCTGCCGGTTTCCCTGAATCCCTTCATAAATGTTACTTTGCTCACACTCCAACAGCACGTCAAGTATTAAAAACCATTTGTCTCCATTCACTCCTATCAAACACGCTCACGCATGCCTGCTGGAAGTCCAAGCCCCTCGCACACAAAACCTCCTTTACCCCCTCCCTCCAACCCTTCCTAGGCCGACCCCTACCCCGCCTTCCTTCCACTACAGACTGATACACTCTTGAAGTCATTCTGTTTCGCTCCATTCTCTCTACATGTCCGAACCACCTCAACAACCCTTCCTCAGCCCTCTGGACAACAGTTTTGGTAATCCCGCACCTCCTCCTAACTTCCAAACTACGAATTCTCTGCATTATATTCACACCACACATTGCCCTCAGACATGACATCTCCACTGCCTCCAGCCTTCTCCTCGCTGCAACATTCATCACCCACGCTTCACACCCATATAAGAGCGTTGGTAAAACTATACTCTCATACATTCCCCTCTTTGCCTCCAAGGACAAAGTTCTTTGTCTCCACAGACTCCTAAGTGCACCACTCACTCTTTTTCCCTCATCAATTCTATGATTCACCTCATCTTTCATAGACCCATCTGCTGACACGTCCACTCCCAAATATCTGAATACGTTCACCTCCTCCATACTCTCTCCCTCCAATCTGATATTCAATCTTTCATCACCTAATCTTTTTGTTATCCTCATAACCTTACTCTTTCCTGTATTCACCTTTAATTTTTCTTCTTTTGCACACCCTACCAAATTCATCCACCAATCTCTGCAACTTCTCTTCAGAATCTCCCAAGAGCACAGTGTCATCAGCAAAGAGCAGCTGTGACAACTCCCACTTTGTGTGTGATTCTTTATCTTTTAACTCCACGCCTCTTGCCAAGACCCTCGCATTTACTTCTCTTACAACCCCATCTATAAATATATTAAACAACCACGGTGACATCACACATCCTTGTCTAAGGCCTACTTTTACTGGGAAAAAATTTCCCTCTTTCCTACATACTCTAACTTGAGCCTCACTATCCTCGTAAAAACTCTTCACTGCTTTCAGTAACCTACCTCCTACACCATACACTTGCAACATCTGCCACATTGCCCCCCTATCCACCCTGTCATATGCCTTTTTTTGTTAATTACCATTATTTGTATGGAACACAGAGTAGTAGTAAATTAAACAAAATCCAACTTTAGTAATGTGAAGAGCTCAGTACCCCAGAGCATGAGCCTGGTGCCTTTTCTGTTTTCATCCTCATAGCAGACATAGATAAAAATCACAGTAGTAAAAGGCAGATAAATTGTAAGAAAATATAAGGAAAGTCTTCCAGTGGGCAGTGAAGAATATCATGATGTTCTTTGGTGACAAATTCCACCTGCTCAGATATGGATAGGACTTTGATTGAATTTTGGATTTATTTTTTGCCCAATTGTTGACTGACCATTTGCATATATATTTGGTATATGAATATTTAGTGTCTATCTGGTATACTCCTAATATTTTGGTAAAGTAAGTAATGTGAAATTTTTTCAAATGATTATGTATTGCTTAGGGATTATAGATTCACTATTGGGTTTGTATTTTTCTTATCAATTATCACAGAATGTGAATTCTGTGATTTGTTTTCAATAATGTTATTACTGTTATCAGTTATTTCATGATGAAATTCATTTACTTTTTATATAGTCCAATCATTTAGTGCCTGTTTGGTAAGCTCAGGAACCTCTGAAGCTGGTGTAGCTGATGAACCTTTAGTGGAATACTTGATGGCATCCTCATCACCTTACTGAAGTCTCCCAGCTCAGGCTGACAGAGTTCAACACTACGTGACCAGTCCTGTGTGGTGGAAGTTACAGAGTCTCAAAACGAATCCCTATACAGTCTGTCCTCACTTAGTAACATACTCGTTTCACAACGACTCGGACTCACAACGGGCTCTCTGACCAGTATAGTAATGTATAGTACAGCTGATTTCCTCTATTCTGTTAATTACAGTATACAGTTTATTACTGTTTAAACATTTAAAAATATACTAGAAATGTTATAAATGGTGCGAAGGTGGCATTAAAACAATATCGAAGATGGTTGACACAAACCCACTACCAATATAGTATGCTTCTCACTTAGCAACGAATTCGTTTATCGACATGGTCTTAGAAACATAACTCCATCATTAAGTGAGGAGAGGCTGTATTGTATATGTTATATTGAATTCACTTGATGTGCCATGAGTGAGAAATTCATCTTGTTGTATAAAGCAAGGTAGATCTATCTTATTTTAATTTCATGTCATTACTATGTGCTAAACTTATTAGCTGAGAAAACACCACATTGATGTAATCTTTTTAATCTAAGTTGCCCAAAATGCTGTGCATACTATGGGCTTTTCAGATATTTTATTTATGTACATTTTTGAAAATACAGGTTTTGTGTTTTAATTAAAATTTCTGTTTTACGGTTTGTTACAGTATTTCATGAGTAGTTGAGTAGCTTAGTTGAAAAATACCATGTGTTCATATGGTAACACGTGTTCATATGGTAACACATACCACATGTTCATATGGTAACGTGTTTGTATGGTAACACATACCATGTGTTTAATATTGTAACACATATCATGTGTTTATATGGTAACACATACCATGTGTTCATATGGTAACACATACCATATGTTCATGTGGTAACACATACCATGTGTTCATATAGTAACATATGCCAGTAAATAATACATTCCTATCTTTCACTAACCTTTGAGACAAGCGCAGTATTTTTAAGTGCTAGACTGTGTATATTCCAGTCACAGTTTGCTGAAAAATACTTGTTGTACATATACAGTCGACCACAGTTAAAGGGATGATTAAGACAAATGTAACTTTTTATTCTATATAAAAAAAAATATTTTTCTATTGGTGGGAGACGGCCGACTTTTTAAAAAAAAAAAAATATATATATATATACTGCCTCGGTGGGAGACGGCCAGCTTGTTGAAAAAAAAAAATATATATATATATATTTTTTTTTCAACAAGTTGTAGTGTTATATAACTAGAATTCACTTGGCTTATTTGGCAATGATTATTTTGCCGAACAAGCATATCATATGTTCATTTTTGCTAAAAATACAAAAATCAATAAAAAAGTCAGTGTATTTCAATAAAGTTAAATAATACTAATCAAGGTTAGGCTGGCCTCAGAGAGGTTAGGTGTATACTGTGTTGATTCTTGAAGGTTAGGCCAAGTTGCAAAGTTCATTTTGGTGTAAAATTTAAAATTTGCATGTCATATTACCTCTTGTAAACATATCAGTCTATAAGGAATAATATTAAAATTTACTTTTAAGATAGTTTGACATATTTTGTTGTTGTGGCAAAACAAAAAAAAAAAAGAGATTGGTGCTATGAAGTAAATACTGTACAGTGAATCCTCAGTATAGTAGACTAATAGAAGGAAGCAGCTGGCTGGTAATGGAAGTTGTGGTTTATAGAAGATTCCCAAGTGTTGCACAAGTGCCTCACTCATCAAGAAAGAGGTTGTTTGCTGTGATAGTAACAGTAGCCAACTGTTCATCAATCATTTGACTTAGTCCATTGTTTTTATATCAATATACCCAACAGATTTTGCTCCATGTTTCCGAATTCCTCTATATAACAGGCTGCTATACTGAAGATTTCATTTGATGATTTGTATACATATATGTAGTATATATGTTACTGTTGAATTCTTCCTGTGTAAGCCCCTTGCCGAGAGCAAGGGGCTAGTAACCCCTTCTCCTGTATACAGTGGTCCCTCAAATATCGTCCATAATCCGTTCCTGGAAGTGGGACTGTTATCGAAATAGACGATTTTCAAATCAATTTTCCCCATAAGAAATAATGTAAATACAATTAATCCGTTCCTGACACCCAGAAGTATTAAAACAAAAAATTTTTTTACATGAAATATAGATGTAGTGCATAAACAATACAATGGGACATGATGAATGAAACATTAACAGCATAACACTTACCTTTATTGGCGATTCTTCTTAGTGTATGGAAGACTGGAGGAGGAGAGAGATTGAATTACTGTTTGGAAGGGGAATCCCCTTCGACGAAAATGTCCCTCGTGACCCATGCCTTATTATTAGATCTCCAAAACACACACAATTTACTCTTCATAACATTGTTTTTCTTGAACACTCTGGGATTTTCAGAATGGTACACTAGTAACAGCTTCACTTTGAAATCCCCACTAGCATTAGCATTGAACATGAG